GACCCGGGTGACCACCCTCCACACAACTGGGCCACTGCTCCTGATACTACCCCTCCCATGGCCCTGGCCACCAGTGAGACCACTACCCTTCAGGTCCTCCCCACCACTCCCAGGTCCCAGAGGCTCACCCTGGAAGGCCACCGACTGTGCGGAGAGCAAGAAGAGGTTGAAGGTGCTGCGCACGCTCACCTTCCAGACCACAGCCATGCTGGAGCCCGACGCCAGCACCTCCACCACCGGCTCCTGCCGGCTGCAGCCGTACCACCTGGGGGAACAGAGGTGGGGCTCAGGGAAGGCCAAGCTGGCGACGCAGGGGGGCAGACCGGGGGTCCCAGCCGCTGGCTTCCAGCTCTGGTTCTGTGAGCAGAGGTGGATGGGTCTCTTTTAGCCCTGGGGCTGAGTGGTCCCCAGCTGAACAGCCCCTTAGCCTTTGCTTGTTAGGGACCACGCCTGACCTGAGGCCCCGGGCGGGCACAGAAAGAAGGCCTGGTGACTCCAGGATACCTCAGGGAGCCCCAGAAAGGCCATCCCAAGCTTGGTGTCTGGGAGCTGGGACAGAAAGCCAGCCCCTCAGGGTTCTACCAGAGGGCCCGTGGGAAAGAGGCAGGGTCACACCGAGATGGACCAAGACCGGGGTCCAGGCATCAAAGGACTTGCCGGGCTGTGCTTCCTTAAGTTGAGCTAGGCATCAGAGCCGACCGGCTGGAGCCTGGCAGCAACCCAATCTGAAGGAGCCCTTTACAGGCCCAGAACGCCCGCCACGAGAGGGCTCTTCAGATTGCTGTGGCCCATTGGCTGAGTTTACAGGCCCGTCCTGGTGTAGACAGATCAGGGGTGGTATTTCCTCTGCTGTCCTGCCCCAGTGCTTCCAGGGAGGGAACTCACTAATCTAACTAACCCCCCCCCACCTGCCCTTCTCCCCACAGCTGAGCAGGCACACCCCTTTCCTGAGTCCCTTTGTTCTGACTGAACCCCCTTTCATGGGGTTCCAGCTTTTGTTGTCAGGTGCCAGGGAGGTGGTTTCGACTCCTAGCGACCTGATGTGCAAACTGCACGGCAGCCTGCCTGGTCCTGGCCATGCTCACAGCGCTCGTGCCCCAGCCCATGGCTGCAGTCACCGTGTCAGTCCATGTCAGTCCGTCTCAGTGAGGGTCTTCCTTCTCCAGGACGTCCTTCTCCAGGGACTGCTCTCTCCGGACAACATGTCCAAAGTATGTGAGACTAGGACTTGCCGTCTGAGACTAAGACTAGCCATCTTGGTTGCTTTTTAAAATTATTATTATTTCCCATCCTTGCCGCTAAGGAGCATGTGGCTGTACTTCTTCCAAGACAGATTTGTTTGTTCTTTTGACAACCCATGGTACTTTCAGCGTTCTCTGCCAGCACCAGGTGTCAGGTGCAGCTCTCTCTCTGTGGGGGCTTTATCATGCTGGGTTTCAGCAATCCTTGCTGCAAAAGACAGACCCCCCACCCCACCCTCATGGGCAGACAACTTATGACGCAGTTGTCCACCTGGTGGAGGAAGGTGAACAGGGCTCCCACCTTCTCAGCCTTCCCACCACCACTGGAGACCAGCAGCTCTGGGGTAAGGGTGTGGGACCCCTGGGTATTCTAGACCTTCTCTGAGGGTCAGAGCTGAACTGCATCTGATAGCAGGTGCCCTCCCCCAAAGCAGGCTGAGGCTGCTGGGAGAAGCCCGAGGGGAAGCCCTTATGTGTCCCTGCCCCTTTGCTCCCATCCCCAACTCCACCCCCAGCCCCAGGTATCTGGATTCTCAGCATTTTCCAGCATCCTCTGGGAGCCCAGCCCCACACAGCCCAGTTCTGATCACCGAACAACTCTGCCGGGGAGGGGCAGTGGGGGCAGTCCTCCTGCAGACCCACCTCCAGTTCTGGTCTTGTTCTGCACACACAGATTTTCCAGCCTCCACCTTTTGCCCCCTCCACCCCCCAAGCTAGGACCTGTCCTAAGTAGGACACAGGAGGTACCACCCAGCACCAAGTGACAAGTAAGCACTCAGCAAGGACCTGGGTTTCTTCCACTTCCAACAGCGCCCTCTATGCTCAGCCCCTCCCCTTGATGGCCTAGTGGCTTGCAAGTTGCACTGCTAGCCCCAAGGTCAGCAGTTCCAAACGATCCACTGCTCTTTGGGAAAAAGATAAGGCTTTCTGTTCCCCTAAGAGTTACAGCCTCAGAAACCCCCAGGGGGCAGTTCTGCCTTGTGCACTGGGGCCCTGTGAGTTGGAATAGGCTCAGGGCAGTGAATTGGGTTTGGGTTCCTGTCTCAGATCTGTGGGGAAGCTAGTCCCACTCCCGCCGCCCCCTCCTGCCCTCCGACCCTGGTCATGTGTGCACTCTACCATCATATTCCACATTCCAAAGTCCCAGTCCTCTATCAGGAACTTGAAGGAGCTCCCAGTCACCATGACCTCAATTCCAAATTGGCCCTCCTCCCCATGCCTGGGCCCAGCCCCAGCTAGATTTGTCCCATGATCATAGCAGAGGTCAACATTTGCTGGACATCCTCTGTGTGCCTGTGTGTGTGTGTGTGTGGGGGGGGGGGTCTTGACACAGATGATCTGCCTTTAAATCTCAAAAAAAGCCCTTCGTGGTAAGTAAGTGTGATTGTACACCCACACTAGAGAGGTGGGAACAGGCTCAGAGAGGCTCAGAGACTCGCCTCGGCACCCCACCTAGCAAGAAGCTCAGTTGGAAGAGGCTGGGAGTTCAGGAGGCCAGATTCCAGAACATTGCACTAAGCCATATGGCTTCCCAGACGTGACCTTGAGTGCCCTTGAGCACCCACTGCTTTGTTACAGATGGGGAAACTGAGGCTCAGGAAGGCCCTCACTCGGGGCAAGTCACACTCTCAGACACCCAAGCCCAAGCTCCCAAATGAATCTCCTTGTTTCAGAATGCTGTGTCTGCCCGCTGACCCGAGCTGTGCCCCCGCCCCCACCCCCACCCCAGCCCAGGCCCTCCCTCTCCATGCCCGCCTGCCCTGGCACTCACGAAGTGATGAGCCTCTTCTCCAGGGGCCCGGCTGCATCGTACATGGCCAGCCGGTCCTGGCAATTGGTCACAACCCACTCCAGCCGAAGCTTGAGCATGAGGTCATCGGGGCCCTGCAGGTGCCACAGGCAGTTGTGGGCTTCTCTGTCCGGCCCCTTCAGCTTGAGCACCTGGCCCTGGCCCACGTAGTTGTAGCGGTAGCAGCCTGGAGGTGGGGAGAGGGACAGGCCCCTTGGCCCCCGTTAACTGGGATGAGAAGCCTTGGGAAGCTAAACCCTCAGAGGGCAGGGACAGGCCAGGGGCAGCCACTGGACAAGGTCAACCCAGACATGTGGTGGTCTAGCCTCTGCTCCCCACCCCACCTCCACACACACGCACATCTTCTCAGATCTAGTCTCCTCATTCATTCACAAGTCCAAACACTCATTCACGGAACACATACGTACCACCTCCAGACCAGGCGGGGACACTGAGGGACTGAACGATGCCTCCCCAAAGTGCCCGTCCAGAATCCTAACCCTTCGCTTCTGCACACATACAGGACCCAGGAATCTCTCGTGACTCAGGATATGCCCCGAAGATCAAGAAACAAAACACAAGCAGATATAAGCAGGAACAGACATTTCCTCAAAGCAAGATTGATACAACAACCTAATGCCTGTGGGTGGGGGAAGGAATGCAGAAACTCTGCTGCACAGATACAATGTAACAACTGTGAGTCTGGGTCAGGTGGACAGATACAATGTAACAACTGTGAGTCTGCACCAGGCATACAGGTACAATGTAACAACTGCAAGTCTGAGCAGGGCCAGCAGATACTGAGGCCGAGTGGATCCACGTGGAAGATGAAGTCAGTCTGTCACAGGGAGATGAACAAAACATGGGTTTCACATCAAAAGAAATAGTGTGTGTGATGTGTGAATTACAGGTGGCCCAAATGGTTCCAAAAAAAAAATAAGTAAAAAGGTGGTACCAATGCTTAAAAATTGGCATATAGTGAGAAAAAAAATCAAACAACCAAAGAAACAAACAAAAAAAAAACCCCACTGAGAACTGGAAACAAAGTTCCCATCGAAATCTAACCTCTGGTCAATTGCGAGCCCCTTTGACTTGTTTTGAACTTGCTCTTGGTTTTACTTGGGCTTTTCTCGTTTGGGGTCTTGGCTTTTCTGTTTTATTTTGTGGTTGTTGTGGGGGTGGGGTGGGGAGGAGCAGTGGTCTGTTTCTCTCTACATGACATCCAGGATAGTGAACCTCCAGGGACAGCGACTGAATTCACAGTCCCTTAGGGTGATGGCAGGGGAGTTAGGGGGACACGGGGTGCAAGTGCATGCTCTGAACTTGTGATGACGGTGACGGCCCAGCTCTGAGCATGCTGACGCCGTTTAGTGCTGCAGGACGGGATGATGTGCTGGAAAAACTTTTAAGAAAAAGAACCTGTCACTGACAGTTGCCAGACAGAGGCAGTGGGAGGGGGAGGGAGAGGGAATGGGAAAAGAAGCAACACATTTGGGGGAAAGGTAATAGAATTTTTCCATTTGGAAATTCTAACCATTACACCTGTAAGAGACACCTGTTTGGCAATAGGGCGTTTCTTTGGCTATGTTGGTAAGATCCGATCAGAGTCGGTGGCTCCTAAATGGAATCACATCTGAATTATAAAAAGAGCACAGCTTGTGTGCGTATGTGCATGCGCATGCGTGCATGTGCATAATGGGAGAGACAGGTGCCAAGGAACAAAACCCAGAGTCCCAAGGAGGTCCCTGGTGGATGGCAGTCACCAGAAATGAGGAGGGCGACAGCCCCATGGCCAGGACCCTGATTTGGACTCTTTCTGTGGGAAAATAAGTGACTGTTCCTCAGCGTCACCCCCTTGTGATATTTCTATCAGCCTAGCACTAGGACCCTAAGAGAGGTGGGGAGCGGGGATACAGACCAGAGGGGTCTGGGGCAGTCCAAGGGAGAGAGGAGGTGGGTTTCGAGCTAATGACAATGAGACCATGAGAAGACAAGAGGCACACACTGAGCACTTGACATGAGCGGAGCCAGAGGGTGCCGGCAAGGATTGTGCCCCGCCTTGTCCCCATGCTGCGGGCCGAATCGCCACCCAGCCCAACCCCTCCTGGGCCCTGGTGTTCTCAAGTGGAGAACCAGGGTGTGGGTTCCGACTTGGCCATGAGGCTGAGAAAGGTTGGTGGTTCAGGGCTGGGCCCAGGGCTCACAGTTGGTGTCCAATATCTATGTGGACTGTTCTTCCATGGGTGGTCGTGGGACAGAGGGGGCTGGGGAATAAGTCCCCCAGCATGCCCCCCTTCCATTGGCCCTGCTGGAAGCTCAGACCTGGCCAAGCTCATCGGCTGGCCCGCTTCACAGCCCCTTCTCCATCACTGAAATCCCCACGGTCCCCCCACACCATCTCTGTGTACCTCTCCTCTTGCCTCTGGACCCGAGCAGTGCCACTGGCTCCATGCATTTGCTGAAAACAGCAGCCCCACCTCGCTCTGTGCCGGAGCCAGGTCCAGGGCCAGCAGGAACACACAGATGGACAGCCCCTCCTGTGGAACTGACAGGGTCCCAAGCCCCATGCAGGGACATGGGAATGTATCCCAGACCTTCCAAGCAGCCACACGCCAGCAGGGTGGCCCTGGGGGAGCTGCTAAGTGCTGAGTTCTGCCTCCCAGTAACAGCCCCGGCCTCCCCTCCTTCTCGGGGAGGGTCCAAAGATCAAGATGAGACCAGAGGCTCTGTCTTTTGCTCCCCTGGGACCCTGGCCACTCTGAGTCCCCCGGGAGTGCCCGCTGGCATCTGCCTCCACCAGCAGCTGCTCCAGAGTCTGGCCTGACCCTTCTGAGGGAGCTGCATTCCTTTAGATCTCGCTCCGCACCAGAAGCTTTGATTTTACCTTTCTATTGGGTACACTTTTAAAACAAATTATTTTTTATTGTTTGTTGTTGCAAAACACACCCATTGAGGAGTTTCTTCAGGGACAGTCAACGGCATTGGTGGCATGCTGTGAGGTGTACAGCCATTCCCACCCCCCCCTCTGTTTCCGAGTTGTCCCTCTCCCATTAATGTAAACTCACTGCCCTCGGGCTTCCTAGCTAATCTTCCGTGCTGTTTTTGTCACTTTGACCCCTTAGAAACACTCGCTGCCATCGAGTCTCTGCTGACTCCAACTGACCCGATGAGACAGGGCAGAACTGCCCCCGTGGGTTTCCGAGACAGTAAATCACTATGGGAGTAGGAATCCGCATCGTCCTCCCACAGGCTGGCTGGTGGTTTCGAACTCTTGGCCTTGTGGTTAGCAGCGCCACTATACTGTCAGGGCTCCTTTGATCCCAATGCTCAAGGCAGGCATTCTGTTCTGTATTCCCCCCTTTGTGATCACGGTTGAATGACCCCTTTTGCTCTTTGGCTAATGAAGTGGAGAGGCCCATGCTGGTCTCTGGGCTTCCAGAAGGCACACCTCTGGGGTCCAGGCACCTGGCACATCCCTCCTTCCAGCCTTTGTGCCCCCATTCCCTCCATCCAGAGTGCCCTCCCCTCTGAGTGGACTGGACAAATGGCCCCCCTCTCCTCCCCCTAGTCTGGAGGCCCATGCCTGCTGTTTCTTCCTCTCTGAATGCTTCCTGGATCCCCAAGTTAGGAGCAGTTGCTCCCCTCTGGGCTCCCAGCACGCTGGGCGGGGCCTCCCTTCAGAGACATGCGCCTTCCCTGCCTAGGAGTGCCTCCCCTGGTGTCTGGCTCTGTCCCCGGGGCAGCCCAGTTCCCTCCCTTTGGGCTCTCTGGGGCCTCTATTCTAGCATTGCCCTCGTTGCGAGGATCTGTTTATGTGCCTCATTGCCCACGGGGCCCCAGTGCCTAGGATGTCCCTGGCACAAGAGAAGAGCTGGGCAGAGAGGAAGTACTCTGAGCATTAGCGTGGTGGGTGGGGAAGGCAGGGATATCCCAGGCATTTGGTGTGGGGGCTCCAGGGACCCCTTACTTAGAAGGATAAGCCATGGATGGGAGAGCTATCCTGGGCTCCAAGGTCGGGGCCATACCTATGCCTACGGGGTGTGCACACATGCACACAGGAGCACTCGAAGTGCCCAGGGGCATGCAGCTCACCACTAGCATGCCAGCAAGGAGGAAGGTTGAACAAGGGTGGCCAGGGCAGGATAACCAGGTGCCTGCCCTCCACCCCCCATTGACCCCCTCCAATGTCCTTTTCTCTCTGGGGCCGCTGGCTGGCTGACCCTGAGGGCCACCCTGAGCTGCCAGAAGCCAAAGGGGCCTGTGCTCAAGGCTGACACGGGAGAGCCCAGAAGGCATCTCCAGAGGCCAGGCTGTGACGTGCAGCAGCAGGTCCCCAGAACGCCGGCTCGGCTCGGACGGCCAGTACACAGGGGTTGGCTGGCTTTCTGTTTTGACTCTGGTGGCACAGCAGTTTCGACTAACCGTAAGATCAGCCGTTTGAAACCACTAGCTGTTCATCGGGGGAAAGGCCTTTCTGTTCCCACGAATGGTGACAGTCTCTGAAACTCATGGAGCCGCTCCACCCTGTCTTATGGGGTCCCTGGGAGTTGGCATTGACTTGGTGGCAGCGGTGAGGTTTGGGATCTCAAATGTATTTGATTGACAGCCTCCTTTCGGGGGGAGGGGGGGGAGTGGAATCACTCAGCACCCCCACCTCCAGACAATGAAAAGCATCTGTCCTTTAGCCCATCACCAAGGATAAAGTGTAGCATTCTGCTTCTGCTGCCCCCCTGGATCCTTCTAGAGCCCCCCCCCCAACCAGGAGACAATATTGCTCACTTTGAGAAACTCTCGAGTTTCGGGGGGGGGGGCTGGGCCACCTGCATCTCGTGAGCCCTGCTCTCCGGACACCCCATTTGGGTCTGCATGGGAAGCCTGTGCGTTCTGCATTCTAACTGATCCCAGGGGTTTCTCTGAACCCTGAGTCTGCTGTGGACCGCAGATGACAGGGGGTTGTCTGGGGGTGCAATAACCAGCTCTCTAAGGCTGAGAAGTGCCCCCCACCCCACCCCATGGGGACATGTAGCAAACAATGCCCATGAGGAGCGCCCCCACCAGGCCACCCACCACGGGTCCCAAGAGGTTTCTCAACACAGAACCTTTTGAGGGACTGAAGGGTCAGGAGTTCCTGCGGGCCTCTCTCTCTGTCACTCCCTCTTGAGAGCACAGTAGGGTCTCAGGAGCACCAGGACCTTGACGACCCCACAGCCTGCGTGCAGGTACCCAGAGAAGCCCAGCACCAGGGACCCGAGGCACCGGAACACCGGCTGCTCGCTGCCAGATGCAAGGTCTTTGTTTTGGAAAACAGGGATTTTTATGGAAATGGGTGATGGTTGGGAACCAGGTACTCTGTATCGGTCATGTGTGTTATCTTTCAGTGTTTGCACGCGCACGCGTCAAGAACCCCCTTGCAGGTCTAAGGTAGATAGGGAGAGAGGGGGTCCTTCTCCAACAAGAGAGAAAACAACTTTCCACACCTGCATGCTTTAGCCACTTACGGGCGCAAGACCCTTTCTTGGCTCACAGGCTCTGCCCTAACTTCTGTCCAATGACGCCCCTCTACGGCTGAGGGAGCGGGAGTTCTCTGTCTAACACCATGTGGGCTACTTATTGATCAGGTCCCAGACTCGGGGTTCCAACTTAGATGTTGATTTTCCCCAGACGGTAGAAGCTGCACCTGCTTTTGATTCAGTAGAAAAGAACCCCACGGGCGATCTTTCCAAGGTTCGACAGGACGCTGACCAGTTGGGATCTAATTTTAGAACCTCATTCCAGCATCCTTTGTGCTACGAACTGCTGGCGTAGTGATTACGAGCCAGGGCTGCTAACTGCAAGGTCAGCAGTCTGAAACCACCCACTACTCCTTGGGAAAAGGATGGGATTTTGTTGTTGTTGTTTTTTAACACCTGTAAAGATTTGCAGTCTCAGTAACTCACACAGGGGACATGCTACCGTGTCCTATAGGGTCGCTATGAGCTGGCATCTGCTTCATGGCCGTGAGTTTGTTGGGTTAGAAAAAAACAATTTTTGTTACTAACTTAGGAGCCCTGGTGGTGCTGTAAAGAGCTGGGGGTGTAGTGGGCTATGTTTTTTGGCTGCTACGGTAAGACCAGCAGTTGGAAACCACCCCATGGAAGAGAGACGAGGCTCTCTACTCCCGTAAAGATTTCCGGCCCAGGAGACTCTCAGAGACAGTTCCAGTCTGTCCTACCGAGTGGTTATGAGTTAGAATGCCCCTGGGGGCAGTGAGCTGTGTTGTAGTTAGGGTGGTGGTGTGGGTTAAGGCAGGGGAGGAGGAGGAGGCTGTCTACGCCTGCAAAGAGTTAGTCTCAGAAACCCTTAGAGGCAGTTCTACCCTGCCCCAGAGGGTCGCTAAGAGTCGGTATCGACTCTTTGGCAGCGAGTGGGTTGCTCTGGGTGGAAACTCTCCAGAGTGTCCGGGGTGGGGCCGCACAGGTGGTGCACCGTGCCACCCTAAGGGTCGCCAGCTGCCGCACAAACAGTACCCCCTGGTGTGAGACAGCAGGATTGCCCAGCTGCTGCCCTGCTGCTCTGGGCTCAGCTGGAAGGATGTGGCCTGTTGGCACAGAGCCAAGGGAACCCAGCAATGGCCTCAGAGTGGAGGCAAGGGGGCTCAGAGCGGGCAGAGCAGCCTGGCCGAGAAAGAGAAAGAACAGGAGGTGGGCAGAGTGGGGGAGCAACTTGAATATGGCAGGACTGTTCACCCACCAAAAAACCAAGCCAATGCACGTGTTTAAACCCCCCAAGTGACTGTTCTACCTGGAATTGGCAATGTTATTATCACCCGTCTGAGGAGAGGGTGGCTCATGGCGAGTTGGAGTCAGTGGGAGAAAGTCAGTCACATTGATATAAAGCCTCACGCAGGCACACCCACGTACGTGACACCCACACACGTGGACTCCCCGGCCCCCCGCCTGCCCAAGCCTTGCTCTGCACCCTTCAAGGTGGTACCCCAGGGATCCCCAAACCCACCACAGAAATCACGTGGCCCTCGGCCGAGCCAAGAACGCCACTGGAAAGGAAGGGGTGGGGAGGGAGCGGGGCACAGAAAAAGTCGCCTACCCAGCGTGGAATTCAGAACAACCAGGTCTTTCACGCTGGCCTCTGTCAAAAATAAAACACAACAGGAACACGACAAGCACAAATGAACACAAATATACCCACAAAGGCAAAAAACCCGGATTTCAAAACAGCGGAGACCGTCAGTGCCAGTCTTGTCTGAGAGGTACCCAGACCCCTCAGTCCCCTCTGCCCCTCCCTCCTGGCTCCTGGTCCCTCGGACTTGGAAGGCCTTCCTGGCAGTGCCCGGAACCCCGGCCGCCTCCCCAGGCCTTGCCTCTGCGGCTCACCGGACCCACCCCTCTGCCGGCTGCATGCCGCCCCACAGTACTGACCCAAGATGACCAGGCCCTCGGCGTCCACCTCGTAGTCAGCCAGGTAGGGCGCTGTGGCTGAGCCGTTCCCGGAGGACTGCAGCTCCTCCACCAGCAGTGCCCGTACCACGTCGGGGCTCAGCAATGGCCGCTGGTGTTCAGGGATTTGCAGGATGAACCAGAAGAAGCAGGTCAAGGGGCCCTCCCTAAGACAGGTGGAGAGAAGGCAGGGAAGGAGCTCGCAGCCTGGCCCAGGTCGTGCCTGGTTGGTCCTACGACCCCCAAACCGACGGTGGCTCAGGCTTATTGAGTGTTTGTGCCAGCCCGGCCGCAGTTCCCCACTGCCTTCCCCCACAAGCTCTGCGCGAGGCCCATCTTGCAGGTGAGGGAACTGAGGCAAAGGGGCTAGGTTGGCACAGTGCACATCAGAATGGCCGACCCCAGAGCCTACGCCCCTACCTCACCCTCAGCGCCTCCACCAGTGCATCCATGAGCACGTGTCACCAGCCCGGGGTATGCGGCCAGACACAAGAAGTCAAATCCCTTATGGTCTGTGCCTCAGTTTCCCCACTTCCATGTGAGCATGCTGCAGCAGCTTCCCACAGGGCACCCACCCCACTGCCCCCCACACTTTGATTCTGAGGCAGTCCCAGGCTGCGGGGATCCGAAGGCCACTTACCCAAAGGAGTAGATGGAGCTGGAGTTGTAGTAAGGCCCCAGGCGGGTGCTGGCGATAAGTGCCTGGAGCTGTGAGGAGGAGGACCACCAGCTCTGTGGAGCCCCCCCCTCCCGGGGTAGATCTCCCCCCACCCACCTTCCCACCTGGCAGTCCTGCTTCACAGAGGGGGCTAGGGAATCCCGTGGAGGGTGGTGGGCGGCTCTCTTGGGCTCACAAGGTGGTCAATGACCGAGCCAAGGCATTGACCTCACACCCTCTCCGCCCCTCCGTCCCCTCTCTTGCACAGCCAGGCACTGCCCCCTCTGGACCTCACTCCCAGTCCAATGTCCGCAGCCTTCGTGCCCCCTCTTGGAAGGTCGCTCATCCACACTGCAAAGCCTGAGTGCCCTCTTTGCCCGCCTGGACAGCGAGCGCCACTGGTTGGTCTGGGCACATATTCCAGGTGGGTTCAGGAAGCTCCCCAGGCCACTTAGAGAGCACCTGTGCTTTCATCACACACACACACACACACACACACACACCCGAGGTCGCAGAAATCCTCAGGTTGGTCCCCAAAGAAATAGACTGAGTGGGGGAGGTGAAGCAAGGGGCTTTGGGCATGTTGGGAGAGCCTTTAGGGACACCCCCCCCCAGTTGGAAAGTGGGAGGTGTGCAGGCAGAGCAGCCAGGAGCGTGGAGGAGGGTTGATGAGCCGCTTGAGCTGGGGGGCTGTAGGAGAGGGTGCGGTGCAGCCCAGAATTGCCCTCTCCCCCAAGGGCCAGCCCCTGCAGCATTTCCCCGCAGGAAAATTTCCCCACAAGCCTCCTGCTGGCCGAGCCCACCAGGGATTACGAGCAGCAGGGCTGGCTGCAGAGACCCTCTTCCACACCTATGACCCGTGACCCGTAAAGTAGGAGAGCTGAGGGCCCAGGGCTCGGGGTGGGGCCCCCACAGCCTGACAACACCCCACTCACTCTCCTAAGGCCACCGCCCTAGTCAAGGGAATGAACAGAACTGCCTTCTGTCCACAGCCCACGTGCCTTCTCCCCGGTGCCGTCTCTGGCTCCTCAGGCTGACCCAGACTGTCCTCCGCACGCCTAGTCCAGGGCGTGTGCAACGTGGCCTGAGAAGACCCCCTGCCCCCCCCCCTCCAGCACCCCGCCCCCTTGGCCACCTCCCACCCTTCCAGTCTTCCATACCATCTTCTGGGCTTTGGCGATTTCCCTGCGGTAGGCGATGGAACCCCGGCGGGTCAGGTCCTGGGAGAAGTGGTGATTGAGCACGCGGAAGCTGCCGGAGTACACCTGGCTAACCGTCACTTCCGCCTTGTACCCTGGTCGGGAAGGGACAGCAAAAGCAGTGTGGAGCCTTGAGCTGTCAGGAGGGCCCTATCCCCCACGCGGAGAACCTGCTGCCCCTCCCCCTCAGCCCAGCCACCAAAGCACCAGCATCTTTTCAGAGTCCTCCAAGGGGCACCCGGAGGCAAACCGGCCCCAACGTGTCAGGGAGGAGAGGGGTCCCTGGATGGATGATGTCCCAAAGGTTCCCAGGGAGAATAAGCTGACCTGAGACTGACCCAGGGCAGGCCCAGGTGACTGGCATAAAGCCAGGAACCCACCCCCATGGGCCCAGCCGTGAAGACCCTGAGAAAGCCTGTCTACTTCCTTCCCTCGCCAAGCAGGGGCTGTGGTGGGGGGGCGGGTCTCCCTGGTCACCCCAGCAGCAAGGCGCTGCCGCTGTGACGGTCACATCTGTGTCACAGAGGGTCACGGGACCTGAATGGTACCTGTCCTGCACCAGGGGGTGGACCTTGGAGCTGAGGTTTGAGGGCTGAGGAGACACTGAGACCCACGCCCTTTGGAGAAGAGGGAAGAACAGGAGCAAAGGTCCCGAGGCTGAGCAGAGGATTCTGGGAAGGATGAGGCACTAACGGCCTGTTTGGGTGGAAGAATGTGGGGCGAGGGGGCAGCAGGGTTTTGATCTTTGCCCAGTGAGCAAGTTCAAGCATCATGGGATTTCCATTCTGTGGAGCTCGGTGCTGGCGGATGGGCACAGGGTGGCTTCCAGCGCCAGGTCCACAAACGGGGTTTCACCTAGTCTCTTGTTCTTCACCTAGTCTCTAGCGCATGCCAGCTACACATCCTGGTCTAAAGGAACCTGGGGCCGTCTCATCTGACAGTGACGGAACAACACAGGGTAGGAACAGCGCCACGTGCAGGACCCAGATGGGTGCTGGAGCCTGTGCTGGTGCTGGTGCCGGGCCCTGGCAGGCAGTGGGGCTGGGACCTGGTGCCTGGAGGGCCTTTACCAGGGGGACAAGGGGGCAGCTGGCTGGGCGTCTTGCCACACAATCTCCCACGAGTGTCCTGGACCCTCAGTCCTGGGAGTGATGATGTAGCTTCCCCATTAAGCCTTAGGAGCTCTTGTCGCAGGGTCCTAGGCCCCTGGGGTCCCCCTGCTTCCCCAGGGGGATTCACCCCAGGTGCGCAATCAGGAATCAGGAGCAATTAGCCTCAGCTGCTGAGAAAGACCTCAGGCAGCCGAGCCCCGCCCTTTGGTTTACCCTAAAGATTAATTATCCCTCTGCGCTGCCCGGGAAGGTCCCGAAGCCCCGCGCTATTTGGGGTGCTGGCTTCCTTCCGGGGGTGAAGGGCAGAGGCTCCTATGCCTGCCCCGGCCTGGCCCTCACCACTCCTCTCTGCAAGGCCTCACTCTCTCCTGGGGGGCCTGGGGGGCATCCAGACAGCTCTCTTTCCAGCCCACCACCACAATGATGTCATCGGGAACCGTGCCTAGGCAGCTCTCTTTAACAGCTGCTCCAACATGGGTTCCTGACTCCTTTCCAAGGGCCTGAAACTCCGCCCCCACCCCCACCCACACACCCTGTGAGAAGACTTAGCTAGGGCCAACACTGACCTCTTAGGCAGGGTGGGTTGTTTCTGCCCCTGGCTCCCCTGGCCCCCTCTGAGGTCCATCTCTCTGCACACACACCAGGCTCGACCCTAAGTGTCGCATCTGAGATCTGAGGGTGGGGGCATGGGGACAAGCCTGGCACCCAGGAGAGAGGGCTCGGTTCTGACGGCATCAGCCTGCCCCGGAGCACAGCCCCCAGCTCACGACCCCCAGCTCATGTGTTTCTCCATCTCTGCCCATCACCAAGGTCCAAAGGAAGAAGGTATAGGCTCCTCCGGGAGGTTTAGGGCAGAGAACAGTAGGTGCTCAGTGCACACTGGAGGATGGATGAACAGATGGGCCCAGAGCATGAGCCATTTGTTCCTGGAACTGGAATACCGGGGGTGGGAGGTCCTAAGTCCAGGATGCGACGAGTCAGCTCCTCCCCAACTCCAAGCCCACCTTTCCCAGAGCCCACACTGGGGCAGGCAGGAAGACTACCCCCCTGGAGGGGCCTGAAGCCTGGGTCCCCCCCTCGCCTCTCCTTTATGCTGGGCCTGGTAGCCGCAGAGGTGACGGCACTGTGGCCCCCGCCCTGGAGAAGCTCTAGGCTGGGCTCAAGTGAGCAGGTGACTAATTGGTACCTGGGCACCGGGCGCCACGGGCATCTACCAGGAGAGCCCAGCTGCCTCAGAGCCCCTGGGGCAGCCCAGGAGGGCTGTGGGCAGGGGAGGCAGTGTTTACACTCTCATTGTCCTCCCAAGCACAGGGCACTGGGTCCACTTCACAGCTGGCTGCATCAGGGCACGGAGCTGAGCCAGCAGACCTGGCAACAGGGCACGGAGCTGAGCCAGCAGACCTGGCAAAGGGGGCCTACAGCTCTGTCATGTCTTAGGCTAGGAAGGGGCTCCAAGAGGTGAAGTTAGTTTGCCCGGCACGCCGCTAGGCGTTGGTGAAGCTGGACTCCTGGCTCATCTGCGGTGCCCCACGGTCACCCAGAGCCCTCTCCAAGTGTCCCTCCTGGCAGACCCGCGTGGTTACCTAGGAAATACCAGAGCAGGAACCCCACCAGGGCCAGCAGGACCAGGGCCAGCCACAGGGGTGCCAGGCGGAGGTGGTACCCGCTTTTCCTCTTGGTGGCCTTGGGGGCCTTGAGCATGCCCTCTGGCTCTGCCTCCTCAGCCTCGCCACCGCTGCCGCAGCTCTGCCCGTTGGCCATACGGGGGGCCTCCGCCCTGGACATCCTGCGGGGAAGCAGACGACAGGTTGGGAGCTGCCTGGCACTGGCAAAGCAGCCTTCACTGAGTGCCGAGGGTGCTCAGAAGCCAGGAGGCACCGACCCTGGGGGCAGAAGGATGGCAACCCAGGCAACAGGGCTTTAAAAGTGGGCACTGAGCCCTGCTCGCGGAGGAGGGATGCCAGCTAGCCGCCTGGTGCAGGCACGCTGGGGACCCTGCTGTCTCAGCCACACCACACCCCTGGGCTCTGAGGGGGCCTGAACCAAGCGACGGGATGAGGATGGAGGAAACTGACTGTGCTGGCCGGCTGTTCCTGGGAAAAGGACAGCGGGGTGGCACAAGGGTCTCCGTCAGAGTGCACGCGAGGGCAGCTAACGATGAGGGTGACACGACATTGATGAGCCGGCTGCTCTGGCCCGGTGTCCAGTCTGCTGGGGACATTTGCCCAGCAGAGCCGCCCACCGTGTCAGCTCCCTCATCAACCCCATGCTCCTCTATTCCCCAAGGAGTTCCCGAGCCAACCACCTCAACTCCAGCCCCGCAGAGTCTCCTGCTGGGGAGCAAGGAAGCAAAGACTCCTATCTGTTCAGGCCCATGCTGATAGCTGAGGGGTGTTGCCTCTCGGAACCCAGGGATGTGGGGACCACCGTCCCCAGGTGGGGCCACTGTGTTCTCACGTCACATGGTCACACGTGTTCAGACTCCGATGGCTCTGTGAACCAGCTGGCCTCTGAGTGCACGGGGAAGCCCACCCGGGAGTATCCTAGCCCCCCCCCTCCACCCCCACCCTGAGGTGCCCCTGTCCTCGCTGTCCAGGGGTGACGTCAATCCCTGACCTTCACCACCAGCCCCACTCCACAGATGAGGAAACGGAGGTCAGAGCGCCTCAGGCCCAGGGTCACCCAGCAGGTCGGTGGGGATGGGGTAGGTGAGCCCCGGTGTCTCACTCTCTGTTGTCCCCTCTGACTCAGGCTGATCCTTGTTTGGGGAACAAGTCACACTTCTGCCTTGTATGTGGAGACTTGAGTGGCAGCCCTCTGGGCGAGCCCAGCAGCGGTCCCTTCTACCTCCCCATCCTCAGCAGTGCAGCGGCTAGAGAATTCCTTGGTCTCTGGGACGGGCTTTCTGCAGGCCAGAGCGGACTCCCAGCCCTTCCACCATCCGACTCCCCTCAGCACACCTGTCAGTGGCCACTCGGGCTGGGACCCACCTGTGGGTGCAGAAGGGAGGTGGCTGGAGGAGGTACCAGTGACTTGTCTCCTAGGGACTGTGTCGAAGCGTGGACACTTACACAGTGGGATTTAGGAAGATGGGATTTCTGAGATGCTCCAAGTCCTCCCAGGTGGACATGTGAGCCTGCCCTCCTCCTCTGGACACAGCCCTCCCCCCCCCCAACCCCCCCTCTCCAGGGTCCCCCAGATATTCAGATCCTAGGAAGGGCAAGGTTACGGTGATTCTTAATGGGCTTGGGATTCCCTGCCCCCAACCTGGGACATTTGTGGGGGCCTATCCTGCCAGTTTTCCTGGGGCCAGCCTGGTGGCATAGTGGTTACACATCCTGCTGCAATGGGAGAGGCCAGCAGTTCTGTACCACCAGCCAATCCTTCGGAGAAAGACGGAGCTTTACTGGCCTCGAGAGTTAGGGTCAGAGAACGACAGGGGCAGGTCTACACTTTCCTATAGGGTCATCATGAGTCTCCATGAACTCGATGACAGTGATTGTGTGTGTGTGTGTGTGTGTGTGTGTGTGTGTGTGTGATGGTGCATGCCCTATAATCCAGTGGACAGCCTGCCCACTGCCCACAAGACTCAGGGCCCATAAGGCCCGATGCATGCTGGGTGGGAGCATGAATCTCCCTGCTCCTGATGAGGAAGAGGTGTGTGAGAGGTGAAGACCACGAGTGTCCAGCACAGAGCCACCTCTGTCCCGGGCTGGTCACCTGTGTCCCCTGCAGCCTTCCCTGAGAGGCTAGATTCCAGCAAGCTGGGCGATGGGCCAGCCCCACCCTCTGTTGGCCCCCTCTTGCCCCCAGAGAGGCCACGCCCAGCATTCCTCTTGAGTCTGGGTCACCAAGGAGCTATTTCTGGGTGACTCACAGGGCCCTGGGGACTCAGGGGCCCACAGACAACAAGAGGGGACGTTGATGAGCTACGGCTCCATGTTGCTCTGCCCCGGTGCTGGGCACACGTTCTCTCACATACACCTTGCCACAGTCATGAGACTCCCAACACAAAGCGGCTGCCCTCCCGTGCCTTTCAACTCATGCCACCCCCCTCATCCCCGACGTGTGCAGAGAACCACATGGGGGTGGGGGGTGTCCCGCGCCTGCGACTTTATGGAAGCAGGTCACCAGGCATTTCTTCCAAGGTCACTCGGGGTAGCTTTAAACCATCAGTGCCACCCAGGGCCTCTGTGAGCCTCACATTGACCGCACCATGCCCATTCTACAGGCAGACGGACGCAAACAAGGGCCCAGAGAAGCGGGGCCAAAGGTCATGCCGTCGAGAGCAGCAGACTTATCTGTAAACCCAAGCCATCCATCCCCAGAGCAGTCCCCTGACCACTGGGTTCTACTGCCTCGCACACCAGCAGGATCCTCAGTGACCACACCCGTCCCTTGCCACATCCCCCAGGCCAGGCCGCTACCTCGTGGACTTTTTCTCCCTCGCTGGTGCATGCTCTGGGGGACCCTGAGGCGCTCAGGGGACCCTGTTTCAGACAACTCCCAGCCCAAGTGGGTCACCATCGCTCCTGGGACAGCCACCTGCCTCCTGCCTCCTTGGCCAGGACTTCCCACCTGTTGCCCATCCCCCTGCTCCCCGCCTCCACTTTTCTAGCTCTACCTTCCAACACATGCTGTCTCCTGCAGACCCTGGGACCCTGTCTGAAGGGTGCCATGGGTCCCAGAGCTTGAGTTGTTGAGTCCCCACCCCCTCCAGCCCCGGATGAGTACACAGACTCTTGTCCCTCCCTTTCAAAAGGGGCTGGTGCTTTGGACAGGACCTGTGCTGTGCTCCCCTCCAGTGCCTGTGAGTGAATGCATGACTGATGGCTGAATGAATGAGTGAAGTGGTGTCCAGAGCTCTGTCCTTGCCTCTCACTGCCCCCAGGAGGCAGGGCTGGTGAAGCCTGAGCTAGGGCAGACGGGCAGGGGGTGTCTCAGGCGTAGGGTAGGGTCAGCCCAATCTGAGCTCCTACCCGGCTGCTCTTCCAGTCTGGACCACCGTGGTGGCGAGAGGCCACCTGCCTTTGCCGTCCTACGGCTGCCTGTGCTTCCAAGGGGCCAACCCGTCTGCAGAGTCTGCAGCTCAACCTTCCCAATGACCTCAGAACCCACCACCCCTGTCCTCCGTCACCTGGAGGCCAGCACCAGCCAGTCACCCAGCCACATTGCCCCTGGGCTCCCCTTTGTCACCTGGAACAGGCTCCAAAGCTTCCTTGCTGCACCCTCAGCACCCCCAGCACGTGCCGACCTCGGGGCCTTTGCCCTCTCTGCTCCCTCTGTCTGGAACCTTCTTCCTTTGCACTCACCCTGAGGCCCACCCCTTCTCTTCTTTCAGCTCTCTGCTCAGGGCCACCTCCCCAGAGAGGCCTTCTCTGACCACTGCACCTCTCCCGCGTCCCTTCCCGGTGGCATGTTCTCAAGAGCACTTCTTGGGACCTAAACCACACACCAAGCCCACTGCCCACAGAGTCCATTCTGCCTCCTAGAGAGGCCGCAGGACTGAACAGGACGCCCCACCGCGACCATCTTGATGGAGCAAACTTGTTCTCTCTCGCTCTTCAATCAGCGGCCAGGGCCTTAACCCTTGTGCCACCAGGGCTGCTGGTCAGAGGTCTTGTTACTGTTGTCAGGAGCCATCGAGTCATCTGACCCACAGCGACCCTCTCTAGGCACGGGCCTGCACCATCCTCACCAGTGTCCCTGCACCGGAGCCCATTGTGGCAGCCGCTGTGTCCGTCCAGCGCATCCAGGGCCTTCCTCCTTCTCGCTGCCCTTGACTTTCCCAAGCACGATGCCCTTCTCCATGGCCTGGTCTCTCCTGACAACGTGTCCAACATCCGAGAGACCGAGTCTCGCCATCCTTGCCCCTCAGGAGCCTTCTGGCCTTACTTCTGCCCAGACAGATCGGTTTGTCCTGGTACTTTGTATATTGAAATGCACCTGTTCTTCCTCGGTCTTCCTGTTTCCAACTCAACTCTCTGCCTTCACACGGAAGCTGACTCTTGGGGCAGAGTAGAATTGCTCCTGGGAGCCGCTGAGACAGTCACGCTTTATAGGAGTAGAAAGCCTGTCTTTTTCCCTGAGGAGTGGCTGGTGCTTTGGAACAGCTGACCTTTCTGATCACAGCCCAGCCGCATAACCACAACACCACCAGGGCTCCCCTTCCCCACAAGGGGGAACTCTCATTGCGTCGTGAGGGACCTCTCGTGGTTCGTGTAGGTAATGTGTTGGGCTGTCAACTGCAAGGTCAGCAGTTTGAAACCACCTGTGCTCCTGAGGGGAAAGAGGAGGCTTTCTGCTCCTGCAAAGGTGATCAGTCTCCAAAGTGTACAAGGTACTTCTGCTCTGGAAGTCAGAATCAGGTCTATGGCAATGCATGTATCGGTTATCAGTTCTAAGACTAAGAACACTCACAGACATGTATAGACCAAGGATGGTAGCGGGCCTGGGGCAGAGAGCAGCATGCCTTTTGTGTCTCAGACCCTGGAAGTTCTGGATGTCAACCCTGTCAAGTCTTGGCATACCTGCTCCCTCCTCCTGGGGCTCTGCTCTCCTGAAGCCTTCCCTCATCAAGCTCCCGGGACCTTCAGGCCCCAGTTCTGAGCACCTCCTCTTGACAGCTCTCCAGAAGGCTGCAGCCTCCCCACCCCTGCACTGCCTTCCCTGGACCCTAAATGACCCTCCCATGCTCTGAGCTCCTGGAGCCAACCCTGGCCCTCCTCTCCCTCCCACAAGATGCTCTGACCATCCAGGCCGAGTTTGCCAGGTGGGGCAGCACCAACCCTGGGAGAGAAACCTTCAGATTCACCCAGCAACCACTGAACTCCAACTGGGTGCCAGGCCTGCTCTAGGGAGCCTTTACACCGTCCCCAGCAGGCAGCCTCCAGCAGCCTGGGGGGCTGCTTTGCTGCCTCTATTTTAATGTCTGGTGGTGTGGTGGTTAGGCATTGGGCTGCGATCAGAAGGGTGAGCAGTTCTAAACCACCAGCTACTTACTCCTAGAGAAAAAGTCAGGGCTTTCTACTCCTGTACAGACTTACGGTCTCCCAGGGGGTCATTATGAGTCAGCATTGACTCAAAGGCAGTGAGTTTGGTTTGGTTTTCTTTAATAGTTGGGTAAACTGAGGCACAGAACGATACATGACTCGGAGAGGCCAAGGGCACCTGCTGTGAGTCCCGGAGTGTGAGTGAATGAGGGTTAATCTCTCCCCCGCATCTGCACCCTCCCACAGGGATGCCCAGAGATGGGGCTACACTGAGTGGTACAGAGTAAGCTGGACGGAACCCTGTGTGGAAAGAGGGGCTTCTTTGTTAGGTCCCTGAGACTATCAGGGGAGGGGTCCTAGCCCTTTGGGATAGTTAGCGTGTCAACTCTTTCTATCCACACACACAGCATCTCCAGTCTGGCTTCTGACAGACCCAGCCTAACTCACCCCCCCTTCAGCATTCTCCCGAACCAAACGCAGCCGGGTCGGGTCCCGCTCAGAGAATGCAGGGAAGACCCCGGGGACCGGTGCGCACAGAGGGGCAGGCAGAGGCCTGCCGGAGACCGGAGATCGCAGCAGCCTTGCTCCCGTGCCCGAGCGCCCACCTTCCCAGCCAGTGCCTGGCTTTAGACCTCTAGCCTCCCAACAACTGAAAAAGCCATGTCTGTTCCTTAAAACCATTCACTGGTGGGGCTTGTCTTACAAACCTGAGAGGAAGCCAGGACCCCGGGGTGCACATATACCTATCTGTCACATAAACTCCTGGATACACACCTCCCTCCCACACCGACACACTCTCACACAGAGTTACACGGGCACACATATAGTTACAGTTACAGACACACAGACACAGTCACACACACACACTCACACACTCACACACACAGAGTCACGGGCACACACACACAGTCACATAGAGTCATGGGTACACTCTCTTCACACACACAGACATAAATCACCACAGTCACACATGCTCACACACACAAACACACACCCATTCACACGTGTCCACACAGTGTCACGCACACACACTCAGGCATATGTGTATACACACACACACACACACACACGCACACACACACACACACACACATGCATGAAATGCCAACTCATACCCACCCTGCACCTGGGACAGGACAAGCCTGGGACCCCATGATTTGGTTTGCACCTGGGCACCCGGAGCTCATTCAAGCTGGAGGTGGGGGCAGTCTTGTAGTTCTGCAGGTCAGGAGTGGGGTGCTCTGCCCAGCAAAGCAGGCCTCTCCCCACCCCCTGTCTGGGCCCCCCACCTCCCTGCAACCCCTGGCCTCCCAGGCCAGTCCCCACAGCCCCTCCTCTGGCCCCTGCTATCCGCACCTGCCCTCCTGGCCCACTCTGTTACTGCCTAAATTTGTGCTCCCCGCCTCACTCGGGCCAATGAGGCCAGTAGGCCTGGCCTCAGAGCAGTGTGGACACTCACGCTCCGGGGATCCAGGGCCAGCTCTCCTGTTGGACACCCGAGCTGAGGCTGTCTGACACATCCTGGTCCCTTGTCCTTGAGCCCCCCTCCCCCTTACCTGGTGAAGCAGCAGGTAGTGCTGGGCCTGCCCACGGCCTCCTCAGGAGCCTCTGTTTGTCCAGGCCAAGGTCTTCCCACCCCCTCCCTGCCCGGCCGCCAGATCAATGGCCCAGCGTCATGGCCAGGGTGTCTGGCCCTTGTCCCCTGTGGCCTGTGGCCCCGAGCTCCATGAGCCTCCCGCTGGGTCTGGAATGGCCCTGTGACTGAGCCAGGTAAACAGGCAGGAGGCAGGCAGTGCCCGCCCCATCCCGCCCCGCCCCACGGGCACCCCGGAGGCAGGCAGGCAGGAAGGTGCAGGAGAGCTGAGCTCTCCCTTGAGACCCGTTGCCTGGTGACTCTGTCCTGCCTTCTTCTAGCCCCCAGTCCCAGAGCCACCTGGTGGGCACTCTCTGTCCACAGACAAAGCTGACGGCTCACTCTCAGTATTTTTACTGGGGGCTTTCTGGAGGTGTCTGTCGTGTGCCATGGAGGGGAGGACGGTGGGCGTGCAGGAGCAGCGCAGGGGGGTTGGGGAGGGCCGAACTTGGCAACCCAGAGAACACTCCAGAATCAAGAATTCCAACAGCCCGTCCCACCCCCACATTGCAGCTCTTCTTTTCTGAAATACACACTCTTCGTGGTTTAGTTATTGGCCCCGCCCTTCCTGCTCCACTGGGAGGCCTGGGAGGACCAAGACCTCATCGGTCTTGTTCCAGAACAGTGTTGAGTGAACCATGGTGGTCAGATCAACCTGGGGGATAACACAATGGGGACTGACAGGCTGCAGACCCTGACCCGTCCCTTTTCAGACGTATCATCCCACTGAGACCTCAGGGGCAGCCTGGAGGTGGGAATATATGTCGCTACTCAACAGAAGAAGAGACAGAGGTTCTGCAAGGAGAGGATGTCTGAAGCCGGTTGGCTGAACAGAGGCTCTGGCTTGCTCTCCGGGATGGGAGCGATGGCTCTACCTTGTGAAGAGGAGAAATCAGGCTGGGGAGAGAGAGGGAGAGCACGTGTGTACACACACACACACACACACACACACCTGCCTGCTCCAACTGCAAGTCAGCCCACTCTGTGGGTCAGCGGCCTGTAGGTCTCAGCACTAACACAAGCATGGAGGGACACGGTCACCCTGCAGGGATGGTCCTCCTGTGTGGAAGACTGTCCTCTGCTGGGCTGACCCTCTCCCTGCAGTGCTTAGAGGGTTGGGGGACGGGAGTGGGGGTGAGGGCGGGAAGCCCCAGGGAGCTCAGGGGCTGTGAGGGTGGGCTCTGTGAGAGGGCTCAGATCCCTGTCTACACAGGTGTCAAATGGACTGGTCAGAGGCGGGGCGGGTGGCTGGGAGGTGAGAGGGGTGTGGGCAGTGACCCGACTGTGGTCTCTCTAAACCCAGTCCTCAGGCCACGCCTGAGCCTTTAGTTTCTGCACATGATGGCTGCAGGCCGGCTCCCCTCATTGCTCCCACGGGCCTCTGCAGCTGGCTGGGACAGTGAGGGGTCCCCATGGCCCCTGACCTGCTCTTCACCTGCTGTCCCTGCAGGGCCCCTGGAGGAACACCCACCACATTCGCTTATCCAACAGGTGTCAAGCCCCCCAGAGGCCCAACCTGGGCCAGATGCCAGACCCAGGGGTCATGGGGCCCAACCAGGCAGGGCCGGGGAGCCAGCCAGGGGCAAAGCCACCCAGGGTCCGGCCATCGTCAGAGCGGTCACACTGAGGGAGTGATGCTGCCTGATGCTCCCCAAAAAGGCAGGTAGACGGCCTCATACCCGGGACCTGTGAACACAACCTTGTGTGGAATTGGGGCCTTTAGGAGGCCACCCATGAGCGTGAGGTCATCCTGTCCCCAACCAGCCAATGGCAGGACAATCTCATTGCTCCTGGATACAAGGATTCCAGTCCTGACTTGTTCTTTTTAAAACCTAAACATGAGGTTGCAGCCAAACCCCATCCACCCTTGGCAGCTCAGATCCAGACCCGGTGCCTGCCCGCTAAGGATGAGGGTCTGAGGGAATGGAAGGTCTCCATGGAGCCTCCTTCGGACTGCCCTTTCCCGCTGAGTCCTGGGGTGTGGCTGGGCCACCCCAGCTCCTCTCCCTTCTGAAGAGCACCCATAGATCTGGGTGGGGCTGAAAGCCAGTGGGCATGGCCCCTTCTGTCTCCCTTGGCTTCCAGTTAAATGTCCTGGATTTCTGAACTGGGTTCTAGTCCTCCCTCCTCCCCTCCCTCCCTTCTTCCCTCCTTCCTTTCATTCATTCTTTCCACAATCCTTTACCCCAACACATCCAGTCTATCCCCTGGGCCAGGCTTGGGATGCCCAGAGAGTCCTGACCGGCCTGGGGGTGGGGGGAGGAGGGAGGAGACTCTTCCAGGATCCCCTTGAAAATGGGGTCTCTTCACCTCCCTTCCTCTCTCCATCCAGGCCGGCACTCACATTCCATTTGGCTCTACTGCCTTTTGTTTGCTTTTTGTTTCTATGTGACTAGCCTATGTTTGAAAAGCAGGACATTTGAATAGAGCAGCGGTTCTCAACCTGTGGGTCTCGACCCCTTTGGGGGTCAAGCGACCCTTTCACAGGTGTCGCCCAAGACCATATTTCTGATGGTCTTAGGAACCGAGACACTGCTCTTCTATCCGTCTCCAGGTGGGTCCACTGCAGATACGCCCACCTATGCGTACCCGCCGTGAAGACTGTTACCCATGCTACACCATGCTTCAAGAAAAAATTTTCCCTATTTATTATTAGAAATAAATATTTCACAATATATAATGACATGTTGTTTTGTGATGAATCACTATGCTTTAATGATGTTCAATTTGTAGCAATGAAAATACATCCTGCATATCAGATATTTACATGGTGATTTGTACAGTAGCAAAACGACAGTGATGAAATAGCAACGAAAACAATTGTATGGTTGGGGGTCACCGCCCCATGAGGAACTGTATGAAAGGGTCTCAGCATGAGGAAGCTGGAGAGCCGCTGGGATAGAAAGTATCTCCTTACAATATCAGAAGATCCACCGGCCCAGGCCTCTTTCCCAACCAGGCCGCAAATCAACAGTGACTCTGCCCGGGGGCAAATGTCACACAGACCCCACTCCTCCCTGCTGCCTCCCACTGTGGTTACCAGGTGGCCCTGCGTGGGTTCCACCCCCTAGCGCTCCTGTGGAGACGGAATGAAATTCTGCCCTCCCCTGCACCGTTCTCGCATATGTTTTGGCTGGGCCCATTGTTGCAGCCACTGTGTCAATCCATCTCCTGAAGGGGCCTTCCTCTTTGTCACCACCCCTCTATGCCACCAAGCCTTATGTTCTCCTCCAGGGCCCGAGCTCTCCTGACAGCAAGTCCAAGGTATGCACGACCAAATCTCGCCATCCTTTCCTCGAAGGAGCACTCTGGCCATACCTCTTCCAAGGGAACCCGGTGTGTCCTGTTAGCAGTCCGTGGACTTCAACATTCCTCTGCAGCACCGCGATCCAAATGCCTCCATTCTTCTTCCGGCTTCCTTATTCTGTGTCCAACTTTCCCACCGTCATGGAGAACACCAAGACTTGGGTCAGGTGCACCTTACGCCTCAAAGTAGCATCCTTGCTCTTCGATACTCCAAAGGGGCCCCATGCAGCAGATTTGCGGAAGGCAGCACGTCTTGTGATCTCCTGACTGCTGCTTCCAGGAGCGTTTGCTGTGGCGTGGGGTGAAAACACAGGTGCTGGTGTCCGAAGCTTGAGTGGGAATCTGGACCCTCCCACGATGAGCCTCCTTAGTTAATCTTCCTGTGTCTCCGTGTCCTCCTGTAGAAACCGGGGACTCTGATAGCAGCAGAAGGGGGTTGGGGTACAAATGCCCAGAGGCGCTGCGTAAGACAGGCCTGGCAATCTCTTCACAGACAGACTCGGACCTGCAGGGTTGCCGGGCCTACTGAGGACCAATGTGTGCCGAGTAAAGGAAAGGCCGTCTCTCCGAGGGCAGGTTCTTCCTCTCTGAGACCCAGACAGCACCCACGATCCTGAGGCTGGCAGCACCCGGCCAGCATCCTGCTGGATAAGCCTTACACACACCCCCTCCCGCCCAACTAGAAGGTGCCACTAATGCCTTCTCCAGTTCCTGAGGGATGGGGGGGTGGGGGGGCGGCGCTTCTGTGAAGAGGCTGTGCATGGGGGTGGGCTCCTCAGAAGACCCTCAGGGTCTGTATCCGGCTTCTCCACCTGGCCATTTCCTCCTCCCCCAGCTGGGGTGGGGGATGGCACTCTGCTGGGCCCATCCCCATGACCAGCGTCAGCTGGCCGGGCATGCTTACCTCCTGCCCACGCCTCCCTCCCCTCTGCGTCCTGTCTTCCGGGAACCAGGCACCTCTCCCCCAACTCGACTGCCCTCCTTCCTGCTTCGCTCTCACCCAGCCTCCGCCGGTGCCCCTGCCTGACCCCACTCTGTGATGTCACACCTCGCTGGTGGAAAACATCTCTCAGCCAGCCAGCCGAGGGGCTGTCCCGGGGCTGTCCCAGGGAGTGGGCCCTTGGTGCTAGAGCCTCGAATTCATCAACACTCCCTCCCCCCTTGCAGGAGCCCAGGGTGGAAAGCCCAGGTTCTCAGGCCCCCTTCTGCCAAACTGACCCCTGTGGTCTGGCTCAGTCACACCACTGCCTTCTCAGGGGGCCGGGGTGTGTCATTTTCTCACCTCTGAAACAGGATTCAGACTCCCTGCCCTTCACCCCCAGCCACCCACCCTCCCCAATGACTTGCTCCAAGATTGCATGAAACAAGACTCACAAGCTATCATGCACCCAGCTGGTGTGTGAGCTAACCACACCACCACTCAGACTCCTGGGGGTGGGGGTGGGGGTGGGGAGGAGGGCCCACACTGACTCTGAGCCTCAGTTTCTCCCTCTGTAAGGCGGGGGTCCGGATGGGCCTTTGCCCAAGGCACTGTCATGAAGATCAAGTGAGTTATTAATACTAAGGGCGGATAAGGGAACCCGCCACATGCTAAGGTCATAAATTCCGCTTAAGGGGACAGACCTCCTCCTTCACACCCCTCACCCCACTTCACAGCTGAGAAGAGGTGAGGAGAAGGGGGCCAGGGCGGGGAGGGGAGGACACGGTGGCCTGGGCCCTGGCGACCACGAGCAGGAGAGGCAGGAGGCAGCCCAGGTGGCCCTGCCTGGATCCCACCCTGGGGACCTTCCCAAAAGCCCTGGGGAGGGGCCCACCAAAACCATTGACAAGACCCTGCAGGACTATGGCTGCCCCATGACGGCCCTCCAAGGCCCCCGTGCCCCCACAGCCTCAGAAACCCACAGGGGCAGTTTCACCCCGTCCCGTGGGGTCGCATGAGTCAGAATCGACTCGAAGGGAGTGAGTTGGGTTTGGGTTTGCATCTCCAGAATGGGGAGAAAGACGAGGTTTACTACTTCGTAAAGTCCCGGCCTCGGAAACCGACAGGGGCAGGTCTACTCTGTCCTATTGGGTGGCCAGGAGTCAGATCGGCTGGGCGCCAGTGGGCGCCGGTGCATGCCTCCAGAACCAGGGAGCCCTGGTAGAACATGGTGAAACACTCCGCTATGATGCTCAACCCCCAGCTGCTCCATGGGGAGAACCGTGTGGCTGTCTGCTTCCGCTACAGCTTCCGACCTTAGACATCTTGTGGAACTGGCATGAGACAGCATGGGATCCAGGGCAGAGGGGTTCGCGTTGGGTGTTGGTGTCCCTAAATCCAGGGTCTGGAGAGACCAAAAGGTCACCACGACGGATGGTTCGGACAGAGGCCGCTTAGCTGAGGCCATAGGAGGATGCAGGATACCCAACTGGGGGCAAATCCAAATGCACCCCGCCCCAGAGTGGTGATGCCCATGAGGGGTCCAAAGATGGGTAGTTGTCTGGGGTGCACTGTTTGAAAGGCAGGGCTGCTTCAAACCCAGGGGTCAGCAGGTGCTAACTGGAGTCCCTAGCAACCTTGGCCACCTCCCGGCCACCAGCTGTAGACGTGAAATACACACAGGCCTCATTCCGCGCGGGGCCTGGAACCACACGTGTTAGGTGAGGACGGAGAGACCATCCCGGCTGACTGCCCCCTTCACAGGTGGGGCAACTGAAGCACAAGAGCAGGTGGCAACTGCGGATGGCACCCAAGGTGAGATGCTCACCTGAAGGGGTTTGACTATCACCCCCAGTCACTGGACATTTAACCAGGCGTGTGGTGCGGCCTCATGGCACCCTTAGCGGGAGCAGCTTTAGGGCTCAGAAGCAGAAGGATTGGCAGGGTGGGTGGGGGGTGGACAGAGTTCATGGAAGCGGCCCATGGGGATGGGAACTAGAAACCTGGGACCAGCTAGTGGAAGGAGTCCAGGGAGGGTGGAGGAGGGGCCAGAGGGGTACTGTTAAGGAGGGGCAGGGAGGAGACCAGAGGAAGCGGGTAGCACCTTCAGTCTTCTCCTGCCGCTGTCTAGCCCCACTGACCTGCCGAACTCCCCAGAGCCCTTTCCCCTTGCTCCCGCGACCACAGTCAACGAAACCCGGGACGCTTCACCGTTTTCTACCTGGCTGACAGGAAGCTCAGAATGGAATTTTGCTATCTCCCCCCACTCCCCCAGCTCCCATGTGTACAACTGTCTCCTGTGCTGCCTTCTCCATGCAGAGGACCCCACACTCTGGGATCCAGAGGGATCTCAGTTTGAATCCAGGTTGTACTACTCCCCACTAGCGTCCTGTCTCAGCTTCTCTGAGCCTCCACGTTTTGATCTGCAAAGTGTGTGTGTGTGTTCTCACACACCCCTCGATGAGTCATTTGGGGGTGACCAAAAGACAATGCCCAGGGAAGTGTCAGAGACATTGTTGTGAGGTGTCTCTGAATTGGTTCCAACTCATAGCTATGAACTCTGTGCCCAACAGAGGGAAACTCTGCCCGGTCCTGCGCCGTCCTCACAACGGTTATGTCCACGCCCACTGTGGCAGCCCGTGTGTCGGGGGCCCAGGTTTTTATGTTTTGGATGTGTGTCCTGAACTTTCCTGAAGTTACCTGGCATGTCCAGGAGAAGGAGAAGAGAGGCAGACTGTTCATGCTCGCCCAGGGTGGTCCCTGCCACAGTTTCCTTGGGAATGGTGGGCACTGGACGTAGCCTGGAGCAGGAGCTGGCGGGGCAAAGGAACCGGTCCAGCCCACCAAAGAGGAAACCAGCCTTTGGCCCTCTCCCCTCTGCTCCTCTTGCTCTCAGCCCGGCTCTGCCTGCTGCCTCCAGCGCTCCACTCTGCACCTGGCAGCTCAGAGGGGGGCCCAGGCAGCCTGATCCCCAGCTGCTGCTTCACTGTCCTGCAACTTGACCCAGGCAGGCCCATCTCTCCTTCCACCCCTGCCAGCTGCTCCCTCCTAGCCCAGCGCCTGGAATCCACATTCGCATTCATGGGCGCCTGGGGTTTCCAGCCTGTTGCTCCAGCTCTACCTGGTGCAAGGCGTCCCCTTACTGGGCTGTCAGCCAGCTCAGATCTTTTGCCAGGCATGGTGGGCTTAGCTTTCTTGCCTCGATTTCCCTGCCCGGAGGGGGACCCTTGGGCATGAGGAGAGTTCCTTCGGTGGGAGGAACTTGGAGGATAATCTGGTCCAAAGAGGTTGTCGGGTGCTTGGTCTAGTCAGGCCAGGGGGCTTGCAGACTCTAAAACGGCACTCAAGAGGTTGCCGAAGGAGCCAACACCAAAGGGAACCTACCGCCAGCAAGTCAATTCTCAGGCCGAGATCCATTAGCCTTGTCTGCCAGGCAGGGGTGTGGTCTGTTCTACCTGCCAGGAATTGCCTTGCCTGTTCTCCATCAAGGATACTGTTTCCTGTGAACCCGGAACCAGTGAACTACAGAGATGAGACCATTTCAGACCATGTTTGGACACGGACGAGGACAAACCAGACTCCTATTTGTGAGAAAGGCATTCCCTTTTCAAATCTGCGTTCTCTTGAGGAACGAGTCTCCAGTTAGGCTAGCCTACCCTCAACATCTTCCCAATGCATGTTAATTTCCCGCTTTAACCATGCCGCAGAGCAGAGTTCCCAGCGCAAGGGCTTGAAACAGTGTTCCCCTGTTTTCTTTTGACAGTTGCCTTTTATTTAAGGTGCACGTCAGTCTTTCAGTTTATAGGCACAATACAGAGATTTTTCTTTAAATAGATGTAGTTAAACAAAAAAAAATCAGTCGATGAAAAGAAAAATATTATAATAACAATGGCATAGCAGGTACACACAGATTATTAAAAGGACATCCCACAAAAGCCCCGGGCTCTCTAACCC